ATAAACCAACTGAAGATGTTGCTTTTGGTAACGGGGTGAAGCCAAGACACTGCTTAGGGTCCCCTTTTAAATCTTTCTCTAATGTAATTACTTTGCTTGAAATCCAGTGCTTTCATTTTCTTCAGTTTTCTAGTAGTAGAATCCTGTCTGTTTAAAGTCTGTTCTTGTGGTTACTGTTTTTTCTGACTAACTTGGTTCTCACCTATTGGCACACAAGGTTAAAAAGATGGGTGTGTGGTAAGGTCTACTGAGCTCCCTTCTCCTTGAGCCACCTGTGTGGGCTTCCTCAGGTCTGTTGCTCCACAAGGCCTCAGCTGAGGCTTCCTTCTCCTTCCATTGCTTCTCCATCCAAAGTGCTGTGATTCACTGCAGGGAATTTGGCTTATGTTCCCCAGTATGTGCTGAACTGGGGAGATCCATAAGTGTGGGAGAGGGTTACTTTTTGTGTCAACCAGGCTGGGCCTGATTGTAATCTTGAAAACAAAACAAAACAAATTATTGTTGAAACATACTGAATAGAAAGGCTAAACAGAAGAATGGACCTAGCTGAAAACAAAAAGCAAAGTGGTGAGGTAGCAAGCAGATTGTACTGAAATTGTCACAGAACAGAACGGAAAGGCAGAGCATTGAAAAATATGGAAAAATTAAGAGACATGGGTGATTGATGGAGAAACTCAAATATTCACCTGCCAGGAGTGTTGAGGGGCCCTGGGTATACATAATACCATCACCAGGCTTGGACCACGGTTCTCTGGCCAGTGTTGAGGACACCATATTGCAAGTGTTGCAGAAAATTGTGTTACAGCTCACTTGTGACAGCAACATGGATCTGTGCAAGAGACCAAGCAGCACTTGGAGAGTTGGAGGACTCAGGTTTATTACACCAGTAGGCCCACAGAAGTTAACACTCCAAGCTCTCGACCAGGTCTGTAAGTTTACACAGGCTTTTATAGGCTGCCAGTTTACACTTTGCAACATCATATGCAAATAAGGTATAACAAAAGTTGACCAACTAGGAGCAAGCTTTGTAGAAATAGACCAATCAGGAGGGAGAGAAATAACCAATCAGAGTGAAGGAAACAACCAATCAGGAGTGAGGGAAATAAGCAATCAGGAGTGAGCTCAGGGAACCAATAGAATTTTAGGGGTAAGTGAGCAGTTTCAGGCAAAAAGTGAGAGAGCCTCTGC